GACGGTTCCTCGTTTTCTTCCCGCTCCAAGAAGTTCATCATGAAAGTTTTGAGGCTATCCGTCCTTCAGTGTTTTACTTTGACCTCCTTGTGGGTTCGGTCCATTCCTGATCTACCCCATGAAGCAATGCTCCATCCTTGGTCTCCTTGTGGATGATACCCGTTGTTGTTGTTCGTGAGCTTTGACATTCTCACAGGTTTTTGGACAATTCGTCCCAAAGTGGCCGTCATTGCCACAGACCTCACATGCCATGTGAGAGCCCAGGGCCTTAATGGTACCCTGCTTGGCGTCCTTCTCATTGTTGTCCAGTCTCTTCATAAGGAGATCCAACTGGGCGGCAAGCATTTCCGTCTCATTGACGGTGTGCATACCGCATTGACGGGTTTATGTTGTTTCTCGCTCCAACCCATATTTGAGAGCCTCTTCTCAATCAGATCAGTGGTATCTCTGACCATCTTTGAGAAGGGTGCTCCTCCAGCAGCAGCGTCCAGTTGATCCCAGGACGAGAGTGTTAATCCGTTGTTAATCCGTTGAAGAAATTCTGCAGGATGAGCCACTCGTCCATCCCATGATGAGGACGGGCGGTGACGCATTCCTGCAGCCTTTCCCAAGCTTCAAGAATGGTTTCATCCCTCGTTCGCTGCAAACCAAATATTCTTCCATGAAGAGCGTTGGTCTTGCCCATCGGGAAGAATCATGAGAGGAATGCCGTTGAGTGCTTATTCCGGGTTTTCACCGTTGCACGGTTGATGTAGAACCACTATTTTGCTCTCCCGAGGAGGGAGAACGACAACAGTTGGAGTCTGAGTCCTTTGACGGTATACGTGCTACAACTTAACAGGAATTGCTGCAAATAAGCATTTGCATCCTCCTTAGGCTTGCCACAGAACAGGCAAGCCTGCGCCATCGTTAATTTAGCTGGTCTTCAAATTAAAGTCACCATCTCCCCTGCTGACTTGGGTTCCAACTGGCATGTTACCAGCAGAGGGAGCAGCGAACTTGCAAAGGGTCTTCTCAGCCATATCGTGCAATTCTGGTGGCGCGAAATTGGCTGGTCTAGTTGCCGATAGAGTAACCTTGAGGATGAACGATAGGGGTCAGCTTCACTTCATCAGTGACTCCAGATATGAAATTGGTCGGCAGATCAGAACCAATCCTGTACTACCCTATTTTCACATAAAAGAGAAAACAAACAAGGTTTGCCTACAAAGGACAATGACTTATACAGAGGTAAATATAAAATTATTAGAAAGTAGTAAACTCTTAATCATTTATCTTCCCCGGGCAACGGCGCCAGAAATGCTTGTTGGTATTTCTTAGCGACACTACTGGAAATATAATTCCCAGCAGTAGCACTAGAAATAATCCTGGTATATTATAGTTACAGATGTGATCCGCAAGCGCACGGATATACTATTATAGCATTTCAACCGGTGTTGGCGGTTGTTAAATGCCGATTCTATACCGCCAACGGCTACATAAAGATCAGATAATAAAACATCCAACATAGTGATAGGTGTTTAATCTCACGTATTCCACAAGTGTATTTGTATGCAGGTGATAAACCCCGAAGTTGGGAGGAAATCTAGACTAAAGTGAGGAGAATTCTGTATCCATACAAGGATACGTTGTGAACTTCATCGAGGTATCAGTAAATCAGCCCAAAATACCAAGAATTGGATAGAGGAGGACCAGGGGAGGACATGGGCCAAAGGCCAGGCCAGGAGGGCCCAGCCCAGGTTCGCCCGAACCCTGGTAAACGCGGTTGGATCCAGGTTTTGGCGTGGACGGTCCTGATCATCTCCTGATGGCGGTTGCGGGGCATTTCCGACAATTCGCAGAGTACAACCGTCATACCTACCTCTATATAAAGACCTCACTTCACTCACGTCAACACACACTTCCAAGCTTGAGCTAAATTATAAGAGGCTCTATTGTACTATATTTTATACTAGAATAGGAAGAGAGTAGAGTAGAAGGAGTCGGAAGAATTCCGGAGTTGTCGGTAATCTTCTCCTATTTCTTTTATTTTGTTTATTACTCTGAATTCAATATAACATTCTTCTTGAGTAATTTAGATTTATCTTGTGAGAATTATCTCTTGGTTAGTTCGTAATTAGCATACGAGATTATTGTTCACTATAATCAACCAAAATATAGTGATTGCTTTGGTGAGTTATAAACACTAAAGTAGATATTAATTGCTTAGACGTGGTGTTTAGGTAATTATTATCCAGTAATTGCTGCGTATCCCACAGTACGTTTGAGGTGGGTGTAGAGGTGGTGACAGCCCTCGAGATCACTTAAGTCCTCCCTGTCCGGGTACATAATAGAGAGACATCTGGGAACAGCGGGTTGCCAGTGCCTGAAGTATTGCGTTAGGATTAAAATTAAGCTTTCCCTAGACACTATTTCTCACTAGTGAATCCTCTCTATCCTAGTCTATCATTAGCTTCGTGTCCTTGGATGAACCAGAAGAAGATCTGACCACACACGTTCCCTTGGATTCGATACCCTTAGAATACTCCGTAGGGGAAGTACTACATCGGTATATCCGTGCGCTTGCGAATTTTATCTGTAACCGTATCAAATACCAACACCCGGGAGTATTCCAAGGTATCGTATTTATTTTATCCCAAGGGAAGATATGATAAGAGAGTACTATGCTAACAATTCATATATTACTTATATACGTCAAAGTCTACGTATGGGTTAGTTCAGTTCAAAGGGTAGGTTGACACACAAAAGAAAGAACTAAGAACTACTCTCACTAAAATATAGTCTAAGCTAACTGGAGAAAGAATAAGAAAAGTATCATTCATGTACTTCTAGTATACATACATCTTTAGTCTATACTTGCTATTATACTGTCATGTAACCAATACTCCGTACCCAGTGTCCTCCTGGTGTTTTGAGAAGCCACCCCTTACTGCCGAGTTCCTTACGACAGCCTGTCATGACCATACAACCGGGGCTAAATACGGAGGAGTACCCTCCCCAGGAAATTAACTTAGGACTATATACACACGCGGAGGAATACCCGTACTGAGCTGTCACCATCAGCGGCCCACCTCTCATCTGCAGCATATAACCCCAATTAATGGTATATAATAATCTAAGCACCGCGCTTACATTACTAAATACTACTCTACATCCTTTCAACCGACGTACAACAACCGAATAATCGGACACTAAACCCACACCAATACACCTATCTGGAAAGCTAGTTACATGACTATATTGATTCAAGTATAAAGTAAAGTCGGCACTCAAGTAATATGAATGGAATAAATTACCGAACTTGTATAAAGAAGAATATTCTATTAATTCAGTAAGTCTTACAAAAGAAGAAAGGAAAGCTATTAAAGCCATAACCGAAATCTCCTGAAGACTCGAGGACTTATGAAGACTATTCTATTTCCTACTCCACTAGCACTAGAACTACTAAACAGTACTTGAGAGAGCTCTTGATCTTCTTCTTGAGGTGTGTGAGGGAATGAATGAGAAGAGGGGTATTTATAGGCCATGAGGTGCCTTGGGAGAGTGGAAATGCTCCAAGCATCCTATGAGCATCTTTGCTCTCATCATGACAAGTGGCATGGTCAAGCATCCTATGGGCATCTTTGCTCTCCTCATGACAAGTGGCATGGTCAAGCATCCAAAGAGCATCTTTCACCCTTCTCTTAACAAGTGTCCACTTTCATGACGGTTTCTACCGGTAGAATTGCTCCCAACTGTCATAGGATACGTGTAGATAACTGCCGGTGGAAAATGGGCTGGATTGGGCCAGCTAATGGTTCGGCCAAACCACCAGGGGTTCGACCGAACCCTGGCTGGCTCCCCTGGCCCATAGCCTTCTTTAGGATGCTGACATGTGGGCCCCACTTTATTTTACACCATGTTTTGGCTCAGAATGATTGCTCATTTCTGAGTTCTTGGCCCATCCATCCATAAGTCTCATTCTCGACAGTGTCTATTTGATTGATCGATTGTTGTGCTGTCGATTCTCCTCCGTTTTGTTAGCTTCTCCTACATGATTAGTTTCCAAGCACATAGTGGAATAGAATGTTTTATTTGTGAAATAATGCATTGCAAGCATAGCTAGTCTTCATATATTGGGTAGTATTGACGGTCGAAACTGGTAGATAACGACCGTCAACAAGCCTGTCGCGCCACACCGCCGCGACTGGCCGAGCCGCCGCGCCACCCGCAGGCCGCCGCGTCCTGCCGAGCCCGCCGCGCCGCGCTGCCTGCAGGCCGCAGTGCCGCACGAAGGCCACCGCGTGCCGCGAGCCCATCGCCAGCAGCCATACGCCATCAACGGAAAAAAAAGGAAAGAGAAGAAAGATGGAAAGAGATTGGCGATTTTGCAAAAGGGCCCCTGGCTTTTCTGAAAATTATGCGCATATCTCTCAGCATGGAGATTCCTTGGGCACAGACCCTTGAATTTCATAAATTTCCATTTTCATCCCTCCACCGCATGGAAACTTAGTAAAGGGCCCCCTGTATTTGCACATTTCGCATGCATTTCTTATTTAAGCATTTTGTTTATGTCTTATAAATTTTGAAATTGAATTTCATGAAACATTAATTAATGTTAATTGATATTTTGAATTTTTGTTTTCAGTATTTATATGAATATATGCAACCTTTGCACCTTTTTTTATGAATATTTGTATGCATTTTAATATGAAATCTAGTATTTCTTTATTGAAAATTGCATTTACTATGAATAACATTCATTTCTTTGAATAATTAGCAATTCCTTTGCATAAGAAATATTGGAAAATCATGAAAAAAGTTGCATTCATATTTGCAACCATGTTACTAGTAGTAACTTATGAATATTTTGTTACTTTTGCAACAGAACGTCAGGGATCACGTACCAGGAGTTTGCCGAACTGGCCCAGCATGGCCAGAACCATGGCCAGAACTACCTGACCTAGGCATCTGACGTCCAGATCGTCCTTGGAGCCAAGAAACTCCGCCAGACGATCGGGATGGGCACCCCGCAGGACCGTGCGCCTACCCCTGATGAGAACGATCAGGCGCTGCACTTCCTGCGACACCACCTCTACGCCACGCTCAAGAATGAGTACATGGGATTGCGGAGCCCAATCACTCTCTGGACCGCACTCAAGAAGCGGTTCGAGAAGTTGAAGTACACCATCCTACCCCAAGCAGAGCAGGACTGGGCTCGCCTGAGGTTCGCCGACTTCAAGAGCGTCGCCGAGTACAACTCCGCACTGCATCAGATCTGTACCAACCTCTCCCTCTGTGGCAAGGTTGTCACGGACGAGGAGATGATTGAGAAGACGCTCTCCACCTTCCACCCTAGCGCCATGCAAAGCGCTCGTAACTACAGGCAGGCGTCATACAAGGAGTATGACGAGATGATCGATATCATGCAGGTGTCTGAGTCTCATGAAGAGGTTCTCCGCAAGAACTTTGTCTCCCAGCCACCTGGCAAGAGTGTTGGCCTTGAAGTCAATGCTAGCAGTTACAAGGTCCGCAAGCCCGTCCAGAGGAAGAGGGGCAAGTGTGGTGAGAAGAAGGCAACCGAGAAGTCAGAGGGAAAAGCTCCTCCTACCCAGGGAGCACAGGGAGGCAAGGGCAAGAAGGAAGCCAAGCCACCTCGCAATGACAAGCCATATGGCCAGCAGGACCAGACATGCTACAAGTGTGGCATTTGGGGCCACTGGAGTTGTATTTGCGAGGAGCCCCCGCACGTCGTCGACGCATACCAGGCCAGCAGGAAGGCCAAGGCATCCACAGAAGCACACATGGTTGATGCTCACACTACGGCCACTCCCCAACCACTACTCCACTTGACGCCCCTGCAGCTGCAGTAGGCACAGCAAATGAAAAGGACGTCACACAGGAGCAGATCTTTGCAGAGCTCGATACTCTAGTTGATTCCATTTAAGTATTTGATGCCCCTACTTTATTTCATGAACTAAGTTGCTTTAGGAACAATTTGAATAATGGTTTTGTAAGCTCTATGAGAGCATAACATTTATTTCGTGATTCGCCATGCATGGCTAGACTTTATTTCCAATATTATGTTGCATTTTGCTATATGATAAAGTTTTACTTCTTGCCTTGAAGTAGTGATGTTTTACTTTATTCACATAGACAATATGCATAGCCTAAGGTGAAGAGGAACATTCTGGAACAAAGGCACCACAAAGTGTAATCTTGAGAGACATGAGACAAGTTCAGTCTATGCAAAGACGTGAACTACCTTCACAACCGCACGCAATGATTGTAAAGGATATTGTTTTTCTCGTAGAAAAGCGATTACACCTCAAATCTCTTGAGAATTGCAAACTCTCGCACAAAAGTTCCCTTGTAGGAACTAGAAGATGAGAGAAGCATACTCATCACCTAAGCATGTGAGATCAATGTCCTCACTAAGAAATGTAGGCTAAAGTAGACTACTTCATAGTCAATTTTTCTTAGAATTTAGTATCTTGCAAATGAATATTGCACAAATAGTGTCACATCATCTGTTGTATCGCAACGATGAGACATTTGTCACGCGCACTGCCTGAGCGCCTCGCACCAAACTTGCGCCAGACATTGGCGTCCATCCTACAGCATCATGATGCGCACTAAGGCCGCTACTAGCGCCGCGCTCTAAATGCCGTACTATGCACCAAATAGCATCCTCGCTGTACTGGGGGACTGGACAAATCATGCCGCGCTAGCACGCGCCATGCAACTCCTACCATGCGCCACAGTTGCACCGGCTGCATACCCAGTGGTCACTCTGGCCGCACATACCATCGAACATCGGATGCGTGCAAAACGTCGACCACCACATGAATTTCGAGATACCTTGAAAGGTATACCGGAATGAATTCGCACATACCACATGAATTCACATGCATATTTAGCCCTTTAAATGGATCATCCGATACATACTGCGCTTATGAAAAAGTTGCAATTTGTGTCTAATCGACACTACGCTCTTCCCAAACCAACCCTGCAAGATCATGCATGTTGGCATCAGCATATTAAGAAAAACACTAAGTACTGGACGTCCACAAGAATAGGACTAAAAATGTCCACTGCATCATTATTGAAATTCCCGCCACTGGAACAGACTTGTAGATCCAAAGGCAGCGAATTATCAATATTTGGACTATTCGAAATGTGTTGTCCACTTAAAAGAATACTAGTGTTGACTTGACACACGTACATACTCCACGACCATCAGGGCTCCCTTAGAAAAAATTGGAAATTTTTAACAGAGGTACGAACGTAGCCTAAATTCCTTGACGATAAGAAGCATTATTTCAGGGGAGAAATAACCCTTAAAATGATAAATGTCAGGAAAAATGGTCAAATGAAAGGATGGATGCACATTTAATCAAGCATTAACCGCACTAACTACAACACTGAATGGGCAACGGCTTGATCTGTAGTGTAGCATGTCCCAGCAAGAGGTGCCATGGTATGTAGTTGATAGGTGGTAATGTCACTAAATCCATAATGGCTATGTCAATAAGTCCGTATTGGGAGCCAAGGGAACTTGGCTAGAGGTTCGGCCACATCTACTAGGGACTTGGCGGGTGACCATTCTGTTGAGCGTGTTATACAAAGGGGTCTTGTCACAATTCCTTTTCGAGGTACTGTGGTGGTATTGAGGCACATAGTGACATGTTGTGGGGTTGTGTCTTGTGGATAATTTGTACACCTCGGGCTAGAGTAAAACTATTCGAATAATCATGCCCACGGTTATGAACGGGCCTACATATTTTTTCCGTGATTAGTCCCACACTATTCATTAATGATAATAATTGATGGTGATAATTTGTTAGCTCTTGTTATGAAGTTTAGATATGTGAAACTGGGATTGGTTGTTCAGAGATGGTTGGGCCTGTGCAGCATTGATATGTTGTTAAGTGCTGATTAATTACTATACTATTTTACTACTCTCAAATATTTGCTAAATGTTGCTTTTGCAAATGAACCATATATTATGACATACTTTATTATCCCTGTCCACTTGCATATTTGTTATGTGGCTTGCTAAGTTTTCCATGTACTCATCTTGTAATAATCATCAACTTCATTTGGAGAAAAAAAGGATCCAGAAGAAGAAGACCTTTGGCCTAGATCCTAGTTAAGCTGCAAGTGGAAGTGGAGTTGAAGTTTCGCTAGATTTTCTTTTCTGCTGCAGTTTTCTTCATTGTGAGGACTAAGTGCCTCTTCAGTAAGTATTTATCATATTAGTTTATTTAGTATTTTATATTCAAATTGTCGATTTGTGTACCTCGGTTGATTTCTGAACGAGGATTTAATGCACAAATTAGTTTGAAAATTACTTGTGAATTTTCGGGTGTGACATTCACGAATCCAAACTCGATGTCACGATGAGGGACATAAAATGAACTTTTTCCTTCCAAAAAATAGGAAAAAGTACACAGAAGGTCCCTCATCTTGTCACCAAATTACAAAATCGCTTCTCAAACGAAAAACCAGATATATAGCATCCTCAACTTACAAAACCGGATCACTTTAGGTCCTTAGGCGGTTTTGTTCTCGGTGTTGTCCAACGTGGTAGCTGAGCTAGCGTAGAACCCACGTAAGCCTCACATGTCAGCAACAACTTCCCCTCGCTCACCTCCTCTCTTCAAGTGCATGGCCGGCGTCCTCCCCTTCGAGGAGCACAACCGATGGGGGAGGAGTGTGGGCTAAGGTTGGTGGCGTGGATGAGTGAGAAGGCCCCGTCGTCGCACTGCTGAGGCACCGCCTCGCCACCAATGTGAAGGCGAGCTGGATATTGTAACGCCGCGCTTTTTGCGAGACGTTAAAAACTAATTCGGCAAAACCCTATCTGTGAAAATTTCTTTCTTTGAGTGGGAGTCTAAGTCGTGCCATGGATATCAATTCAAATTCCATTGTTCCCTCTCCTTGACATAAAAAAACAACCTCATCAAATTCCCTTTCCAAATCAAGCTTCCGAAATCAAACTCCGACGTCCAATCTATCCCTTCGAATCCTCGCTAAACAACTTGTCTCGATTCCACAAAAATATCCAAATTTCCCCCTTTTGATCTCTTCCAAATGCCCAATTCAATTTCAAATTCCAAATTCCAATCCAAATCCTCTCCAAACCAAACCCCTTCGGCAAAAGTCTAAAAATCCTCCCTCTTCCCTGTGGGCCAAATCTCCCCCGGCCCATTCCTCCCTCTGCCCGTCTCCTTCCCCCACCTCGCGTGCCTCACACTTGCGCCGCTCTGAGCAAGAGAATGAGCGCTCGCTCTCTCTCTCTCTCTATCTCTTCCTCCTCTCTACTCTCTCGCTTCCCGGGGAAATTTAACTATTTGCCACTCTTATGAGTGCCAACTCTCCATATGCCACTATTAGATTTGGTATAACATATCTGCCACTAGAGAGAGATTACGCCCTAATTTTTTGCCACTTTTGTTGAGTTGGAGCACCACATCAGCATGCCAGCATGGACCAGCCTAGTGAAATGACAATTTTACCCCTCCATTCGCAAGTGGTTAATAGCCAACATAATACAATTAAATTAACTACACACATGAATAAATGATAAAACATAATAACTTGAGAACAACTTTGTTCTCAACACATAACATACTGCATCATTAACACACATGCACAACAAAAATCAATTTTTATCCTAGAATAACTTCTTCATCGTTAGAAATAGTACTACCAAGTTCATAACCACTATCAAGTTCAGAGTTACTGTGAAGGCCATACATAACAAGTTTCATGCCATTACGCAAGGCCATACATCATTACAAAAGCACAATAATAGAAATAGCAACATCAGGCCATACACTTAAGTTCGTTAGGCCATACACTTAAGATATTCACACCACATAGCAAAATATGCCATACCAAAGTGCACATATCATCGCACATGACTTGCAATTAGTTTTTCCAAAATATCATGCCATAGTAGACCACAAATAACCAATTTCACTAGCAGGTTGACAAATTTCAATCCAAAAGTCTAGGTGGTGTTGCACTTTTCTTCTTGCTTGCGAGCTTCTTTCTGGGTGTAAGCTTCTTGGGTGGCTCCACTATAGCTGGAGCTACTTGAGAGCTTTGGTCAAGCTCCAATGCGAACCTCCTGGTGTTTGTGATGGTGTAAATAATAAAAGAAGTTTAGTTCAGTGCATAATAAGTAATGAAAGCTAGAGAACAATGAAAAGAGCATAATGGTGCTTACCTCCTTGTGACTGGTCCAGGGCTGCTGCTTGTTTGTGATGGCTGCACTTGAGAGCTTTGGTCAAGCTCCAATGCCAACCTCCTGGTGTTTGTGATGGTGTAAATAATAAAAGAAGTTTAGTTCAGTGCATAATAAGTAATGATAAGTAATGAAAGCCGGAGAAAAATGAAAAGAGCATAATGGTGCTTACCTCCTAGTGACTGGTCCAGGGCTGCTTGTTTGTGATGGCTGCACTTGTGTTTCTGCAGCTCCTTCTCTAGCTGCAACTGCTCTTGTTCTTGGTGTAGTTACTTGTTCATCACTAACACCCTTTGATTTCTTCCTTCCCACCTTTGTTGTTGTTTTCTTGTTCCTCTTCCTGCCAAAAGAAAAACAGTTAGCATATAACAGCAAGAAAATGAATAATAATTGAGATGAAAATGCAGCACACCTCTTTTTGTGCCAGTTAGTTCACATCTAGCACTTCCCTTCCAGTGTCCAAAGACACCACATTCTGGGCACTTAATTTGCCTTGTAGCCTTCCCCTTGCCCTTCTCAAGAGCAGATGGCATCCTATTCTTTCTTTGCCTACCCACTTTTCTTTTCTTGGATGTCACACCCGGAAATTCACTAGTAATTTCCGAACTTATTTGTGCATAAAACCCTCGTCCAGGAATTAGCCGAGGTACACAAACTGATAATTTAATATACAAATCCATCATAATAACATCATTACATACTTACAAAAGAAAAGAAAACAGCAGCGGAATTAACGGTCTAGCGATGGCTTCAGCTCCACTCCCACAGGCAGCTAAACTGGAGTATAAGCCAAACGTCTTATCCTTCTGGATCCTTTTTCTTCAACTGAGGTTGATTGATTATTGCAAGGTGAGCATATGACATACTCAACAAGCCACACATCAAATATGCAAGTGTACAAGGATACCAAAGGATGGCATAATATAGGCTCATTTGCAAAAGCAGCATTTAGCAAATATTTAAGAATAGTAAAACAGTATAGTAATTAATCATCAATTTTAATCAACACTGAACAGCCCACCCATGCTGCTCAGGCCCAACCATTCTGAACAACCATACCCGGCTGTACAGATCTAACTCCAAACCAGGAGCTAAGCAAATTATTACCAGTTATAGCATCAATAATTATTGTGAGAGGTGTGAGACTAATCACGAAAAACATTGCTCAACCCGCCTATGACCGCGGGCACGGCTATTCGAATAGTTTTACTCTGGCCAGAGATGTACCACTGTACCCACAAGACACAGCCTCAACATCATGTCTACCATGCGTCGCGATACTGGAAAGTACCCGAATAGAGGCTGTGACAATACCCTCTGCACAACACAACTCACCACAGTGCACCATTTCTGGATCATAATCACCCCCTCTAAAAATATAACTAGAGGCATGGACTCCCCAGCGACCCCCACGAACTTCTCGCCGCTTCTCAGTCTGGTGCCCCGCAATGAATCATGCTATACAAAAGGTAAAGCCGTTGCCCACGCTGGCTTGTGGTTGGTACGGTTAATGTCTCACAACAGTGGCTCGCGAACTGGTCCTTAATTGTCATGAGCACGACCTTCAAAACCATGTGCTCACAACCCACCATTGTCAAATTTTAATTATCAATTAATTATCATAACACGATTAACCATCGTGAGCTACCATTAAACATAACCATAAATAACAATGTAGTATAATTCATCCCATTAATGAGCTCATGTTTCTAAGCATGGCTAAGCAATTATATATATATAGCTTTTAGCTAAACCAAACCAATATATAAGGTTCAAGCTAATCAATTTATTACCTAAGGTATCAAGGAATAGGGTATTCAATGCAAATTGGCCATAACAAAGGAATAAGTTCACACCACCCGGTGACATTCGAAAATAAATGCACAGTTGAAATAAATAGAGAATTTAAATAAAGGATAACATGCTCAAAGGATTGTGTTTGGGATCTGCGTGACTTGCCTTACAATAATCGGTCTTTAATTATTCTTCTTGAACACTTCCGACGCACTCACGAACCTTTGCAATGACGAAAACGACAAGCTAACACGCAAAACGATGAAAAAAACTAATAAAAACCAAATAAACAGTACATAAAAGTAAACGAACATGTAGATCATGATTTTAGATGAATTTAGAGACTTGAACGGCTTCATTCCGAGTTCATATCAATTAGTTATGAATTTTACAAGATTAAATTGATTTTAGCCTTATACAGAAAAGGATTAACGATGTCACGACGACATCACTGCCGGCGATGGAGAGAGATGGCTAGCGCGGGGAGAGGCGGCTAGGGCACGGGAACTCGAGCTAGGGGATGGAAACGAAAGAGGAGGGCTTGGGGTTCTATTTATAGGGAAAGCTGGAGGAGATCGGCTCGGACCCGAGAGGATTTGGCGGCGGATTGGTTAAGGTTCGCCGGTTTGGGATAAAGTTTATCCGGCCGATTTGAACTCGAATCAAAGGATAAAATCCAATTCCTTAGGAGAAAAGGAAGAGGAAGATAGGAGGAATATTTCCCCTCAACTAATTGGACATGGGGTCGCTCAGGTGCGACGGATTTGGCGGAAAATGGCACCGGATCGGGAAGAACAGGGGCTCTGGACGGCTGGCTCGAGGTTGAAGATGCCACTGTAGCGATAGGGAGATCAAACAGACTTCCGGCTGGGCTTCTTGATGGCCGGATTGAAGGAAGGATAGAAACTGGACTTCGGGAAAGAGAGGGAGATGGGCTGAGGATGACAGATAGACTTTTCTAGTTTCAGCCCGAAAAGGAAAAGGGGAATTTCAATTACTTTTCCAATTAAATTAATCACTGAAATGATCTTTGAATTGGTAAAAATACTTCCAATGCTCAAATAATTTCACGAAAAATCCTGAAAATACTTGGACACTCAAAGTACTTAACAATATTATAATCAGACCATTTAATGATTAATTTAATATGTGGATAATTACTAAAAGGTTGTTTGTATTATTAAAATTAAGAATTGAGCTCCGAAAAATCAAAGAAAATTCCAGAGAGTATAATTAACTATGGCGAATGTCATGCCCAGAAATTCACGAACTAGAATTTCTACGATAAATGTGCATTAAATCCCTGTCCAGGACCAGCCAAGGTACACAAACGACAATTATTAACATACAGATCTACATCTTACAAAAATATAAAAGATTACAAATGCAGCGGAAAGATCGAACGAGCTAGACTTGGACGCTTGACTTTTACAGCGGGGCGACTCCACACCACAGGCAATCCTTGACGGCAGCGACGAAACCAACTTCGACAAGACACCTCCCACTAGGAAGATCTTCAGCTCTGGTGTGGGGGGAAAGAGAGTAAGACTGAGTACTACCCACTGTACTCAGCAAGTCATACCGGAAGAGGAGGTATGATGCAGGATATAACTAAAGGAGGCTAAGGGTTCATTTGCATAAAGCAGGCATTTAAAAGCAGAAGTGGAAAGCAGTAAAACAGTTGTAGTAATTAATCAATATTAACCAATCACTGTCCAACGCTACACCACGTTGCAACAGGCCCAACCAACCACCTGAACTACACCAGTTCATTAAGCTAAACTAGGGGTGAGACTAATCACGGTGAATCTGGTTGATCGCCCATAACCGCGGGCACGGCTATTCGAATAGTTTTACTCTGGCCAGAGGTGTACAACTGTACCCACAAGACACGATTCCACACATGTCGCCATGCCCCGAAGTATCACCATGATACTGCAAAGGGGGAAATCGTGACAAGACCCTCCGCATAACCCTCCCCTAACCATCCACACCATGCTAAGGTTTCACCCCCACCCCCAACGGGCAGTGGGCGGTCCCTTCTTGCACCGCGGTGAATCCGGCAGCTGGACAATCGGACACCCTGGCCGACCCAACTCCATCACGCCCACCCTCCCCACCGGTGCCTAGGAAAGGGTCGAGCTATACTTCAGATCAAGCAGTTACCCACTCCCGCTTGTGGTAAGCACGATAAGTCTCCCAGGGTTTTCCGTGAACCGGTCCTTAACTGCCATGGGTGTTTCAGTGTATTTTAATTAACTAACACCATTGCGGTGGTACAAATCCAAAGCTATGCTAATAGTCAAAATCTATGTAATAATGTGATCCCCATTTGTGTACTAGTTAAACTAAGTATGGCTAAGCATTTCCTAAACCAACATCTAATCATTTTGATACCCAAGTTATCAATGGCATACGGTAAACAATATATGGCTGAGTAAGGGGACCCCTCCCACATGACATTGTAAAAGAATGCAACATTTAATAGAAATACGGGATATTTGTAAATTGGGTACAATATGATCAATTGTAATGCATGACTTGCCTTGCTCTCGCACTGATGAGACCTCAGCAAACGTCTTCGAGAAACCGTGGATCGACGAAACCGCCGAAATCTACGCGACAAACAAAGCACACAAGCAAAACATGCTATAAGACTACTGAAACAGGAAACAAAACCATTTTTAATGGATTCTAGGGATTTTTATGAATTTACTGACACTTGAATGGACTTAAACGGAGCTCGGATGAATTAGTTATGAATTTTAGAAGATAAACTGTGTTTTTCCTAATAAAGAAACAGTCCTTAATTAATTTATTGCGCAATATTGCCCAGGGCTGACATCAGCGAAAGGGGGAGGAGGTGGCACCGGCTAGTGGTGGCCCCACTGGGCAGTGGCTCAAGGGGAGGGGCAGACGCCCGGTCGGCTTGGCTCGGCTTCAAACCGGTCGGCCGGTGAGGCGATGCGGCGGCGGCAATCGGCCACCGACGGCGGCGACCGGCGAGAAGACGACGGCGGCCGGTGACGCGGCGGTGCGACGGCGAAGCGCCGAACGGCGACGGCGGCGCGGCTCGGCGCTAGGAGGGAGAGGAAGGGGAAAAACAGGGAAGGGGGTGCCTCACCGGGGTTCGGCCGGCGCGGGAGGAAGTGACGACGAACGGCGACGGCGAGCGACCGGAGAGCGACGGCGAATGGCGACCGAGCTCCGGGACACCCTAAGAGAGGAAAAGAGAGAGGTTAGAGTGAGAGAGGGAGTCCACGGCGAGCGAAAGCATAGCCGAAGGCGGCGGTAATGGTGGAACCTCACAAGAGCGCGGGGAGAAGTGGGCTCCGGTGGCGGAACTCGACGGAGGGGAGGTGGACGAGGTGGACCTCGGCCGCGCGAACCCGACGGCGGCGGCACTAGCGGCTGCTAGAGGCGGCCGGAGTAGTGGAAGAGGCGGCGGCGGCGGGTGGGTGTACGGTGCGGGAGCGGTGGAGAGCTCTGGAGAGGCCGGCGAGTGAGGGAAACGAGAGAGGGGTTGTGGCGAAGCTTTATACTGGCTCGGGAGGGGCGGACACGACCGGGAAACCCCCCCGATTTGGCCAGTGACATGGTGGAGTGGGGAGAGAGAGTTGGGGACGGGATTCAAATCGAATCCCGCCCATTTTTGGGCGCGCGCGAGAGCGGGAAGTGGTGGGGGAGGGGCGGCGACATGGGCGCAGGTCGCGGAGTGGGGCGGAGTGGGCGCGGGAGACACGGACGGCGACGTGGGAGCGGCGGTTGCCGGCCAGGCGCAGTCGGCTGGAGGAAGGGGATGACCCCGATAGGTGGGCCCCACCTGTCGGCGT